CAATACGCTCAAAGTAAACAGTCAATTCACTTTACAGTATATCCTGTGAAGTGTTTTGAGGCGTCTCAACGACGTGACAAGGTGCTATAAGAATTGCTGTCAGCGGAAGAAATCGCCTAATATAACTGAAGTGCAGGTCAGGGACGAGATAATAAACACATGGGGGGGGTGGTCTGTGACGGGACATGTGTAAAGCACGAGTAAACAGTTGTATCGTGCACCTCGTGTACAGAAGTTACAGCTGCCGTTCATTACATAATCAAGTAATTGTAAATGTAATTAACCACTAATCCTGTTTGCCGGTGGTTTTTACAATGTAATTCCTCTGTAATATGAGGCGTGTGAAACAGCTGTTTTTACACGTGGTTTGCGCATGGCACATTATACACCCCATTGTGTGCAAGAATGCGGGATCAGAAAGGCCGTTACTGATGTAGCACATGAAACACTTAGTGCTGTAGCAACTCTTCCCTCCGTGCTGGCAGCTTCATTCACTCCATCCAGTCTATTCCAACACCGGATCCCACCTAAACCAATCCTCATGTGGGGAGAGTCTGACAGTCAGATCACTTGGCACCAAGTCAACACATTCAGCAGGTTGATCTGTGTCCAGGCTGGTGGGGGGGAGGAGATGAGGGGTTGGGGGAGAAGCCTCTCATGCTGCCCGATTCCAAAGGTGAGAGTTATGGAGCCCTGGGAAGGGTATCAGCCAGACCCCGGCGACGGGACAGGATAGGACAGGACCGCCCTGAAGTGGGAACAATGAGATGAGTCTCTCCTGGAAAGCTGAGTCAGAAAGCCGTCGTTAATCACAGACGTAACCTCATCTGTAGCCAGATAGCGATCAGCAAGATCAGCCACTCCAGGTGCGCTTCACATACTCTGGGCTCGCTGGGTGAGAGCCGAGAGAGCGAGAGAGAGAGTGAGAGACAGATACCTGGGGAAACCTAGCCTAACATTTTGAAGCCCCAGCCCCCAAACGTGGGGAAGTGCCATCAACTCTCCCAATCTGGTGTTGTTCACTTCACGGCTGTTTGTGGGACGTCGCTGTGCATAAACTGCTGCATTCGCCCATAACTGCCTTTCCTGTTTCTACTCAGTTTTACCTGTTAACCCTGCACCCCAACTCCCCAACGTGGAGGGTGATCCTGGCTGGACAAGCAGCAGGAAAACTTGCTAAAGAATGTTCTCCATGGCAAGCTGTGTGGTTTTAGATGGTTAGACTCCAACAATTCCCCCATTACACACTCTGGGGTTCCCCCAAGTATTGGCTCTCACCAACCTGTGCCTAATGCTCTCTCATTTCCATCTGAAGCTGTGGTTTGCTTCAGATACTCAACCACAGCAACGGGGTTTGGTGCGTATCAGACGCCCACCCGGCTGCTCATCAGAAAAACATTGCTGTAAGTGTCGTGACTGTCTACTTGTTTGTTTGAAAACACAGCGGTCACTTTGCGCACACCAATGTCCCACAGACAATCAGAGAGATACAGAGGGAGACAGAGGAGACAGACAGACAGGGAGAGAGACACAGACACACAGACAGGTTCATGCCAACAACAAATTATTAACAATAAAGGTTGAGTGGTGACCAGTTCACCTGATGTTAGTTGCTGAGGTTAACTGGCTCTACACTGTGCAATGTGTGCTCTAGACAGACCCATAGACACAGACAGACAGACAGACAGACATGTGGTCTTGATCAATCCATCACTTCTCATCTTTATCATCAAGTTCTGTTCCATCTGCGGCCTCTCTCTCTCTCGTGTCCCGTGGTTTCAGTGGACTCTCCCCAGCAGCCGGCCGGCTGGCACACGGTGTCTGTGCCGATCATCAAACAGACACTCGGGGAAGGGGGGGCTTTTAGTCCAATCTATACCTGATGGACGGATAAACCACAAGAACGAAGCTCTGAGGCGGAACAGTCCGTTCTCTCACGCACACCACCTTTCTCAGAAATTCATCCAAACTCCTGCTTAAAATTAAGAGGTCGCGCTCTCTCATGCCTCCCTCCCAGCTTGGTTATTGACCTGACTCAGCTCCGCATCCACCGGCCAGGAGACCCTCTGTATGCAGGTCTGGCTCCGCTGCTCTCGGTCTCGCTTGCAGGCCAAAATGTGGTGGGATCAAGCCCTGTGCCCAAGGCCATTGAGCTCACAGTCTGGGCTGATGCTCCAGTGCAGTGTTGGGGGGTGGAGTGGGAGTGGGGGGGGTAATAGGGGGAGAATGGTCTGCATTGCTCAAGATGTTTCAATTAAACCGAGACCCTGTTGGCAACTGTGGAGCGGACGGTGGGGACAAGGAACTTGCAGCAAAAACGATTGGTGATCGTTTTCCGGGAGCGATAATCCCTCCCCAAGAAAAAACATTTGATCACTCAATCCACCACTGTTTGTGGGACGCTGCTGTGCGCAATCGGCTGCCGCATTTCACCCACAAAATACACAGTCACTGCACTTTACAGTATATCCCGTGAAGCGCTTTGTGACGTCTCAAAGACGTGATGAGGCGCTGGATCAATTGCAAGGATTATTATTAATGTCATTTCCCTGCTCACTTTGACAAGCAAAACTCCCATTCACAATTCCACAGCCAAAAACTCTTGTCACCAAACTGGGCTCCGATGATTAGATTACGGCACATCCGGCCCTCAAACCGGGCTGTGTTACACGGAACAAATGAGTTTGGGCGCGCCTCAAGGTTCAGGTAACAACCCTGAGCTGCTGTGAGAGTTCAGGGCAGCTCAGAGCCCGCAGGGCACATTCACTTTGTCACTCACTCCTCAACATCCATTAGTCTACACTTAATGTCACATTAATACTTCAATCACCGCGCAGCACCAGCACAGACACCATGGGGACAGGGGGAGCAGCAGGTTTCCTTTGTTCTATTAACGTTTGAGTATTTCATTTATTTCCCCAAACTGGTCTCTGTGCACCATCTGCTGTCAAGATATAATGTTGCCTGCGTGAGGCCCTCTTACTGGATTATAATACAATATTTCACATGCAAACGCCTGGTAACTATTGTGCGCTTTGAGCTGCGAATAACGTACAGTTTCATAATTCCTGACCTTACGACCGTCCAAACACAGTGTGTGGGACCATACAGAGAAGTACTGTCGGTCACAAACCACACTGGACGGTTTGTGATGGTTCTGGTAAAGTGATGGATTACGAGACCTTTACAATTGTACTGAAATCTATTAACAATCACCTTTATACAGAATGTCAATCAGAGCCTTTCACATCGGGAGAGCATCTCAAAGTGCTTCACAGGATGTACTGTAAAGCGCAGTGACTGTTTTGCAAGCAGACGCAGCAGCCAACTTGCACACAGCGACGTCCCCACAAACAGCCGGGAAGTGATTTTTATTATCTGAGGGATTGTCGGCCAGGACACCGGGAGTGAGAAACTCCCTTCTTTTTTCCAATAGTTTCCCGGGACCATTAACATTCACCTGCACAGGGCACGGACACACATGGAAAGCTCGATTTAGTGTCTCATCCGAAGGACGGCTGTCACAGCTATGAGCTTGTGTCCTGCTGCTCACTCAGTAAATAGGCAGTGGATCTGTTCCAATGGTTTAAAGAGGAAGGTTCCTGCTACATCACAACAGACGGATGTTTCCGTAGAGCAGCTTCAACAAGGAAGTATGGACTTCTCTTAACAATACGTTGTCTGTCCCCACAGGAAACGTACTGATCAAGTTATTCAGCTAACAATCTCCAGTTAACAAAGATCACACACCCACAGCTGATCACGGTGATGGGTTTCCCCCAGTTTCAAACCCTATTCCCGCTCCCTCGCTTGTGTACCCCTTAATCCCCCCACCCCCTCAAGTGCACATCACTACGTCATTTCTCTTCCTCCTCAGAAACTTAACCCTATAAAGCCCAACACCTGCTCCAGATCTGGTCTGGCTCCCGAGTCATTCCCACAGCCCCCACCATCCCCACACCAGCCCCCCCACCTCACACCAGCCCCCAGCCCCCCAACACCAGCCTCCAGCAGCCCCCCTCCCCGCCATTAGAGCTCCAGTTGCCAATATAGTTGCTGTTTTACAGTAAATCCTGTGAAGTGCTTTGAGGTGTCCTAACAGCAACGACAAGTTGCAGTTGTGTAGCGCCTTTCACATCAGGAGGACGTCCCAAGTCAGCTTGAGGCATCCGGTGCAACGCGCAGAGTTAAAGGATTATGACTGGGGTTTGATCACAATCATTATTAATATTAATGCCCAGTGTCACAGCGCTGCCTGTGCACAGAGCTCTCCAGTCAATGCAATGAAGAGCGCAAGAAGCAAGTGGGTCTCCATCTCTCAAAGGCTTGAGGGCTGAGGTCACCTGTGCCACCACCAAGAACTGGCCAGATCACATTCGGTCCTAGAACCTCAAGCCTGCAGATCTCCTCACCCTCCCTCCCTCCCTCCCTCCACAAGCTCCTGATAGCCCCAAGCCTTGACCCCAGCTCAGCTCATCCATCACTAGTGTAAAAGCAATTGGTTGTCCCTTGCCTTAGCCCTGACGGGAGCTTACACACCCTCCCCCCACCCAGGCTCTCAATTTAGAACAAAACACACCATCAACCCAATAAAGGCATCACATTTCAGCAATGTGCCCACCCCCCAAAACACACACACACACAATACAGCCCATCCCAGGGCACTGGCCCCAAACACACAGCATCTCCAGCACCGAGTGCCGGAGGGAAAGGGGAGAGATCTTTTGTTGTTGTTGTTTGTGATGTTGAGAAGGAAAAGTTTTTTCTTGGGGGGAGAGGAGAAAGTTGCAAACTATTTGCAAACATGTGAGAGAGAGACAGAGTGTGTGTTTGGGAAGAGTGTGAAAGGGGGGAGAGAAGTTTGGGGAGAGGAGATGGGGGAGAGGGAGGGAGAGGGGGAGATGGGGTGGGATAAGAGAATGAGAGAGGGAAGGAAGAGGGAGAGGAGAGAGAGTTTGGGGGAGAGGGAGAAGGGGATGAGTTCTCACTCACTCACTCACCTCGCTGCCGGATGAAGCAGATGATGGTGTGGGCAGCCCAGGCTGGGGGGGGTGGGGGAGCTGGGGAGTGGAGGCTGTGGGTGCTGGAGAGGGTGCTGGGGGTGGGGGGGTGCTGGGGAGGGTGCTGGGGAGGGGGGGTGCTGGGGGGGGTGGGGAGGGTGCTGGGGGGGTGCTGTGGGGGGTGGGGGTGCTGGGGAGGTGCTGGGGGGGGGGGCTTGGGAGGGTGCTGGGGAGGGTGCTGGTGGGGGTGCTGGGGAGGGTGCTGGGGGTGCTGGGGGTGCTGGTGGGGGTGCTGGGGAGGGTGCTGGGGGGGTGGGGGTGCTGGGGGGGTGGGGGTGCTGGTGGGGTGCTGGGGGGGTGGGGGTGCTGGGGAGGGTGGGGGTGTTGGGGAGGGTGCTGTGGGGGGTGGGGTGCTGGAGATGGTGCTGGGGGGGGGGGTGCTGGTGGGGGTGCTGGGGGGGTGCTGGGGGTGTGGGGGCTGTGGGGGGGGCTCTCTCCTGCTCTGCAGCTGTAGTTCGTGTTTGAGCTCTGACCGCAGGTCCCAGTAGCAGAGGAGAGTGAGCAGATGCAGACACAGGGACAGCGAGAAGAACCCCAGGAACACGCCACAGTTACTACACTGCTTCCTGCAGCTGCAGGTGGGTGGCACCTCCTTGTCGAAGGTGGGAAACTTCCCCAACAAACTTTTAGTGGCCATTCCTTTCCCCCCTCCCCCTTCAAACCAGGGAAAGGGGGTTGGAGCCGTGAGTGGGGGTGTGGGGGTGTGGGGAAGGTTTTCAGACCAAGTCAGGAAACCTGTTGTTGCTGTTGTTGTTGTTGTTGTTGTTTAAAGGAGAGTGTCGGGGCGCGAGTTCAGAGGGTCCGACTGGGGCTTCGCTGCTGTTGTTGTTGTTGTTGTTGGTGGTGGTCACTGCCCTTTCCTGGACAGTGCTTTGCTCCTCCGCTCAGTGTTTCTGTGCTGTATTTTCCTCTGTGAGAGAGAGAGAGAGAGACACAGCGGCGCTCACACTGTGGACCTCTCTCACCGACTGTTCGCATTGACTCAGTCGAAGTGATTAGGATTCCGGGTTCCTGTCAGTCAGAGGGTCCATCGTCCCGCCCCACCCCACAGCCATCTCCCCATTGGTCAGGAGGCACGTCAATCATCCACATCTGGCTGGAGACCCCGCCCCCGCCCCCCCCCTCTGATCACAGCACCGAGACTCCTCACAGCACATTCCTGTAAAGTGCAGTGACTGTGTGTTTTGTAGGCGAGTGCGGCCGCCCATTTGCGCGCAGGAAAGTCCCGGCAAACCACGGGACGTGAGCGAGCGGTGTTGTCTGGACATCAGGCGGCTCTCTCGTGGCCAATCAGACTGGAAAGTGATGAGCGAGAGCGAGCACAGCCAGTCAGACTGTAGTCAGCCTCGCCGTCTGGCACCGCCATATCTTTGCCAACAGAAAGAGACTTGTCTCCCGTCAGTCGGCATTTGATTCCCACACAACCTCCGCACATAATAGTGGTGCTATCTGATCGTCAGTAACCACCACCCGATCCTCCGGGAACACCCTTTCCCTCATTCGTACTCTCTGGTTTTGTCTCCTTGTGTACGGTGGAGTGCCTCATTCACTGCGTCCTCCTGGGGATACACAGACATCGTGTGTCCCCGGTGTGACTCACCGCTCTCACTCCGCTGCCTCCTCTTCACACGGTCACTTTACCCTGGATTTCTCACCCCGAGACCCCGTCACCTCCTCCTGGCGGATATCTACCATTCTGTCGCTCTGTCCAGTCCAGTCTGTACAAATTGCTTGCGTATTTTGTGTGCGTGCGCGTGTCTCCCTCCCTCCATCTCTCCCTTCCTGCTTCTTTCTCTCCTTACCGCCATCTCTCCACCCCCCATCCCTTCTTCCTGCGTATCTCTCTCTCTCTCTCCCACAAAAATATACATGCAATTCACTTCACAGTGTATCCTGTGTGTCAAATGCCAGGATTATTACTATTATTTATAACAGGTCTGTGGGGGCTTTAACAGCTGAGGCCAATGTCAAATGTGGGGCTTGAAGCAAGAGGCACAAAATCACCAACCGAGCCACCATGGGGGGGGAAGGTGGGGGGGGAAGGTGGGGGGGGGGGAAGGTGGGGGGGGGGGAAGGTGGAGGGGGGGGAAGGTGGGGGGGGGGGAGAGAGGAGTGATTGCCACTTTGCACATTGATCAGATTGTCTGACTTGAGACATGAGCTTGTGAATAAAGGATGATTCCCTGCCGCACCTTGGGCTCAGCCTCGCAAGCCTACCCCAGACACCATCCCCCCCACCCTCACCCCCCCCACCCCACCCAGAGTAAGCAGTGAAAGGGAATCTGCTCCATGTGTAGCTGTGCTCCGCACAGTGGACAGCAATGTGAACTGCAGCCGTGGCTCGGCCCCATTTATCCTTTTCCGCACAAAGTGTCCCCAACATTTCAAACCAGTGACGCTGAAGGCAGACAGAGTCCCTGAGTCTGGCATTGAGTTACCCCCCCAACCCCCCCCCCCCCCTCTCTCACACAAGGGGGGGAGGCTTCCCTCTCGCAGGCTTGAAAATTCCACTTAATCACAATAATGTAATCTTTAGTAATTCTGATGTTTGGCCGAGGGGCTTTTATGAAAGGGCTTCCCAGGATTAACTTGAAGTGTAGTGACTGTGTTTTTGTAGGCAAACGCGGCAGCCAATTTGCACACAACGACGTTTAATTGTTTCCTGGCAACATTTGTCATAAATCCCTTTTGGGTCTAGACGTCTACACAGCACAACCTAACACACGCGCACACACACACACACGCACGCACGCACACTCACCCAAACGTACACATGCACACACGTACAAACGCACGCACATAAACACACGCACACACACACACACACACACACTCACTCACTCGCATAGAGAGTCAGCATCAATCCATCCCAGGAAAATGGGAGTCAGAAACAAGATCCGCTATCTCGGCACTGACTAAGCACTGGAACAACAGCTTGGCTCGGGGGGTGGGCGTGGGGATTATGGGGGGGTATGGGGGGAGAGGAGAGGAAGGGGTGGAGGGAGCAACTAAATAAAGTACTGAATAAATGAGGCTCGGTGACACCCAGACCGCGCAGTGCGTTGCCGTGATGAGATGTGTTCACTACACACAGAGTATTTTTACACACTGACAGTTAATTGATCTGACACGAGATATTCAACCACTCGTTACCCTCTCCCTCCTCCCCTGTGGGTGACGGTACCGCTGGTCACATCCCGTGTTGGCGGTGCAGGCTTGTGCTGAACACGCTAACGGTTGATGTGTCGGTGTCTCTAGCTTTCCTGCCCGGCGGCCGCTTCCTCCTCTTCGTCGTCGTCCTTCTCACCCTTAATCTTGTGCCGACTGAACTCCTCGATCACAATGTCCTCCATACTGCAAAGGGCGACAGTGAGAGAGACCGGAGTCACAGCGAGAAACCACCAACAACAACAACGACGTGCATTTATACGGCGCCCCCACCACCCCCCAAGGACTTAACAGTGGCCGAGTCTGACACAAATGATCAATGCCGTGTAGCTTCCCACATGCAGTTCTCCCGAGTGAGGCATTCCCGTGTGCGGCGTTCCCGTGTGCGGTGTTCCCGAGTCTGCCTGTACAGTGGGTGATGATGCTGGAACCTTACCTGGTAACTTCTCGTCAGAAGCAGGTGGGACACAGAGCGGAGAATCATGGTTAGTGGTTAGTTCCCAACAAACCGTCAGTGACGGGATGACCAGGTGGTGCAGGGAAGTGTCAAACACAAAGGGTTATTATCATCATCATATTGTTACTATCATTAGATCCTAATATCCAAATTATTATATTGTTAATATTGTATTTTTATTATTATATTAGATTGTTATTATATTAGATTGTTATATTGTCATTATTAAAGGGTGAGATCTGCTGAGATGTAAATAAACAATGGAAGAACCTGTGACCTCCTGCTTTCCTGTCAGGAATTTGACGGACTTTTGGATGTGATAACAACACCAACAATTTGGATTTATATAGCGCCCTCCACGCTGGGCGGCGTCTCAGAGCGCTTCACGTGCACTTGATGGGATGTGTTTTGGGATGGGAGGCTGGGGGTCTGGGCTGGGTCTGGGGTGCTGGGGCACTGGGGGCTGGGGGTCTGGGCTGCGGCTGGGTCTGGGGTGCTGGGGGGCTGGGGCTGGGGGTTGGGGCACTGGGCTGCGGCTGGGTCTGGGGTGCTGAGGCTGGGGGGCTGGGGTGCTGAGGCTGGGGGGCTGGGTGCTGAGGCTGGGGGGGCTGGGGTGCTGAGGCTGGGGGTGCTGAGGCTGGGGGTTGGGGCGCTGGACTTGGCTTCAGGAGGTGAACACGACACAAGCAACACTCACGTTCAGAGGGTTTGGAGTGCATCAAACTGATCGGAATGTCCACCATTACATCACTGAAAGCAGAAGAGAAGGAGTGAGAGAGAGGAAGAGAGAGAGAGAGAGAGAGAGAGAATGAGTGAAACAGAGTGAGAGAGTGAGAGAAGTGGCGGCAATGAGGGGAGTGAGTAAAACAATCACCTGGCGGTCAGGTCTCCCAGGATCCTGGGGAAGGAAATCCGGGGACAGAGAGAGCAAAAACACAAGGAGAAAGACGATGTGTTATTGCAGATTAACTTCAACTCTCAGATACATAGATTGTTACAGCACAGACAGGGCCCCGAGTCACTGGTTATCCTCTACACAGCTTTCCTCCCGCACTGACTCCCTCCCACACTCCCTGTTCCCCTCTCCCTTGGGGTTAGAGTAGAGAGCTGCAGTGGGGGAGTGAGCCCCAGCACCGACACGATGGGGGGAAGAGAAGGGGGGATACTGTGATGGTTGAGAACCTTACCCTCCTCGTGACACTGTGACCTTCACTTTCAGACAGTAAGAAACCAGGATTCCGAGCACATCCTTATCCAGTTCTGGTCGGAGCCTGAGGACAGTCAGAGATCAATCAGGAGAGTAGAGTGGGGTTAGGGTCTGAATAACAGCCGCCCCCACACCCCCAGCCCCCACACCCCCACACCCCCAGCCCCCACACCCCCAGCCCACAGAGCCAATGTTCCCAACGCTGCTTGTGGTGTTACCATCCAGGGGGGATGTGCAGCCGAGGATTCTTCCTGAACTCTCTATCCCTGTTTCCAGCCGTGTTGAAAGTTTTTTTTATTTTATGAATAAAGATAAGTAATCGTTACTTTTGATACAGGGTCTCAAACCGTGGCAGTGTAGAGCAGGGCAGGGCTGGCAGGTACAGGGTGGGGCAGTCAGGCTGTGTGGCAGTACAGACGAGGGCGAGCAGGGCGGGCAGGAGATGTGCCAGTATAGGGCAGGGAAGGTAGGAGATGTGGCAGTATAGAGCAGGGCAGGGCAGGAGATGTGGAGTCCTGTAGCTCAGTGGTTAGAGCACTCGCTTTGCAAGTGAGCGACCTGAGTCCAATCCCCGGGGGGTCAGGGCGAAACCTTGGGCAAGTTTCCTTACTCCACACAGAGCCTAATAATAATCCCTCCAAAAACCAAAAACAATCATAAATTGGTCATTTTCAATCCACGACTGTTTGTGGGACATTGCTGTGCGCAATTGGCTGCCGCGTTCGCCCACAAATATACAGTCAATTCACTTTACAGTGTATTCTGTGAAGCGCTTTGGGACGTCCTCCCGACGTGAAAAGCGCTATATCAAATGCAAGGATTATTATTATTATTATTATAGGGCAGGCAGGAGATGTGCCAGTATAGGGCAGGGAAGGCAGGAGATGTGGCAGTATAGGGAAGGCAGGAGATGTGGCAGTATAGGGCAGAGAAGGCAGGAGATGTGGCAGTATAGAGCAGGGCAGGCAGGCCAGTTTGGTGCTGTGGCAGCGGAGAGTAGGGCAGACATGGCAGACAGTGTGGTGTGGTGTGGGGTAGTTACATGGTGCTGGACGCCAGGTTGGTGTCTTGGTGCTTGAGTTTGCCGTCCAGAGCCAGGCCTCGCTTCTGCCGGTTGGATTCCAGGATCGGGGTGAGCGAGTAAACCTTGGTGAAGGTGGAATTAACAGCCACAGTGTCGCTGCAGTGAGGAGAGAGTGACAGTCACTCCCAGAGTCACACAGACAGTCACTCCCAGAGTCACACAGACAGTCACTCCCAGAGTCACACAGACAGTCACTCCCAGAGTCACACAGACAGTCACTCCCAGAGTCACACAGATAGTCACTCCCAGAGTCACACAGACAGTCACTCCCAGAGTCACACAGACAGTCACTCCCAGATTCACTCCGTGATAATAACAGAGATTCACACTGAGATTTTCACAGCTGCAGCGTTTCAGATATTTATAAATTGGCAACAGCAAAAATTGACCCTGATGTTAACACAGAACATTAACACACACACACGGACATACACGTGCACACTTGCGCATACACACATGTACTCACACACTCGGGCACAAATGCACAACACACACAGTGTACTGGTTACTCACTCCGTCTCCTCGGAGCTGACGACCTTTGCATATTTGTCGAGTTGGTAAAGGACCACTTCCGTGATCTGCTCAACTGATGGGATAAGAGAAGAATGTTGGTCACACAGAGACACACAGACACAAAGAGACACAAAGAGACACAGTCACACAGGGACACACAGAGACACACACAGTGAGACAGAGTCACACAGAGACACCGTGACTCACTATATCTCATTGCTCCAGATCCACTCTCCCAGTCCCCTCTCTTTGCCCCCTCACACGGGAAACACAATTGAACATTTAACAGAGCTCCTACCCCACAGTTTGATCTTCTTCACCACCTTGTTGGTGGTGTTATTGATGTGGACGGTGATCTTGATGGGCTCCTCATGGTAAAACAGCTGTCAAACAATCACATTCATCATTGGCTGCTGTGTTTCACCCACAAAATAAAGTCCGGTGCACGTGGCAGTACATCCTGCGAAGCGTTTTGAGATGTCTCCTCTTGATGACATGATAAGGTGCTTTCTCAAATACAAGGATTATTATTACTATCGTGTTCATTGCCTGACTCTGACCCTCAGCTCTCCATCCCGTTACTAACCTCTCTCGATCTTCCCTTTGATTCCTCTCCAACCCCCCCAACTCCCTCCCCCCTCCCCATTTCCCCTTTCTCCCCCCCACAGCCACAAAGTGAATGAATGATTCAATGAATGAATGAATGAATGAGGGATTGTCGGGCAGGACACCTAAACACCCACCTGAACAGAGCACAGACGGAACCTTGATTTAAAATCTCAATAGAAAGATGGCACCTCCAACAATGCAGTTCCCCCTCCATCCCCCCAGCGCTCCCACCCTCCCTCCGCTAGTCCCAGCACCGCAACGGAGCACCAGCCTAGACTGTGAGATTAAAGTCCTCGATGTGGGGCTCAAACCCACAATCTTCTGACTCGAGAGGCGAGAGTGCGAGTGACTGAGCCAGAGCCGCCACATTAATGCATCTGAACCATGTCTACATTCTTTCCCATCTTCTGTGGTGTGCCATTGCCCTCTGTGGTGTGCCATTGCCCTCTGTGGTGTGCCATTGCCCTCTGTGGTGTGCCATTGCCCTCTGTGGTGTGCCATTGCCCTCTGTGGTGTGCCATTGCCCTCTGTGGTGTGCCATTGCCCTCTGTGGTGTGCCATTGCCCTCTGTGGTGTGCCATTGCCCTCTGTGGTGTGCCATTGCCCTGCAGGGATGAGATCAATCAGTACGCAGCAGTTATTATAGCTCTGAGACGTGTCCTCTGGTTATCAGTGTAATAGTAACTGTGAGGAGAGGGTGAGGCCCCAGGCTCCAGCACTGACCTCTTTCTCCAGAGAGACCTGCAGGTTCAGGGGCTTGTCTGACATGAGGAACTGCCGGGTGGTCTCCACTTTGGGTTTCACCTTACTTTCCTCCGGCGCAAACTGCACCTTGCGGATAATCAGGCAGACAGAATTCCTGGTGCAGAGAGAGAGACTCGTCAGCCTCCGGGGCAATCCAGTCAGCAAACAACAACAACAACAACCATCGCATCAACAACATCAACAAGACCCACAACATCAACCATATGGACAATAGCAATACCTCCCAACCCCCACCCCAGCACTGCACTGGATTACCAGCCTGGACTGTGAGCTCAAGGAGTGGCTTTAAACCCACACCTTCCTGACCTTCAGGTGTTATTCTGGGCTCTTATGTTCCACTTATCTCCTGCAGGGCAATCGTGAGCTGTGCCTGGTTTGTCGGGAGGTGGATTGGGGAGAGCAGGATGCCGTGTTGTTTACACAAATGTGTTGTACCTTTTGTGGATTTTCTCCTCCAGATTTTCTGCACAGAATCCTTTCACCTCGAAGTCCACACCGCAAGACTGGGGTGGGGTAGGGAGCGAGAGAGACAAACATCAGAGGCAGACAATCACGATGACACAATAATATGGGCTATCCTATTATTATTAATAATAATAATAATGACCCTTGACTTTGATACGGGACCTTATCACACAGTCGAAATGGCTCAAAGCTCTTTGCAGGATTTCACTGTCAAGTGTAGTGACTGTCTCATTTGTAGGCAAACGCGGCAACTAATTTGCGCCATAAACAACCATGAAGTGGTTAAACCACTTCTTGATGATAGTAATAATAATAATCCTTGTAATTGATATAGCATTTATATCATTTTGAGGAAACTACAAAAATATAGATTTTTCTTCACAAAGAGAGAACCATCTTTAACGTCTGCCTGAACCACCAGCAACTGTAAACAGCTCCTTGGTTCAACAGCTCATCCGATGGGACTTCAAACAATTCCGTGCCTCCCCCAGTCCTGCCTCGGAGCATCAGCCTAGGCCTGGAGCTTGGCTGATGTGCACTAGTGTGAGTTGATCACATTTACCTTTCCAATATCATCTTGTCCTGGCTGCAGGGTGACTGAGCAGGGCAGGTTTGTAGGGATCTGGAACAGAAATATACAGCTTCAACACAAATACTGTCATGTAGAGTAGGGTCTGGGAGCCTGTTATGCAAGAGGAACATTCAACAGTGTCAGCTACCCCGATGGCAAAGCCACTGCGTGGTGTGAAAGTGATAACAACAACAACGCATTTATACAGCGCCCGTCACACAGGGCAGCGACTATGAGCACTTGACAGTGGAGGAATTTGACTGTGAACCAACACAGCATCTCACCAGGAATTGACTGGGATTGTCCCAGCTTCCTGCTTCTGCATGAAGACCAGGTCATGTCTCGAACAAATTTTGTTGGGACCTTGGGTTGGGACCTTGGGTTGGGACCTTGGGTTGGGACCTTGGGTTGGGACCTTGGGTTGGGACCTTGGGTTGGGACCTTGGGTTGGGACCTTGGGTTGTGCTCCAGCCTGAAATGCTTACATCAGGAAGATCTAGTGTGAACCTCACCTTGAAGAAGAATGGGTAGCAGTTCTCCCCCAGTTTGTGTATCAGTTTTGTCTGCAGACAGGTCAGCTCCCTCTTGTTCTCCGGCAGTGGTGGGTAGACCTGATATGCGTCAAAATAAATATCCTTTCGAAACGTCAACCCCATAACATCCAAATCATCACGGCCATATCGGAAGGCACACGTCATTGTTACATACACTGTGAGCAAAGGAGAGAGGAGCTGTTAAACAGGGCTGGGACACAAACAGGAACTTGATACACACAATGAGATGGCTCCCAGCAGATCAGTTCAATCCCCTCACCACGAGAAAGTGGTGAGAAACAAGCCATATCCGGGACTCTAGCCCCTACCTTTCCTATCCTTCAGGTACTCGGGATCAATCAGCACAGCTCCATCTGTAAGAGAGAAAGGAGTGGGTCAGATTTAGTCCAAATCCAAGCCTGGTAAAGTCCAGGTTCACTCCGGTTCAAGCATGTAGAGTGAGTCAGGAGGTTATTGGTTCGAGCCCCCACATCTGGGACTTTGAGCTCCCAGTCCAGGCTGAGGCTCCTACACAGCGCTGGGGGGGGGCGGGGGGGGGAGTGGGGGGGGTGGTGGTGAGGAAGCACCACATTTTCAGAGACTCCATCCTTTGGATAAGACGTTAAACTAAACTCCTGCCTATGCCCTATTCAGGCGGATGTTAAAGATCCCGCAGTGCTGTTGGATAAGAGAAGGGAGTGTCTCTTTTTCTCCCCACTCTCGCTCTCTCTCTCCCAGTGTCCCGGCCAACAATCCTCTGGATTGATTGATCACCCGCCTCCTGGCTCTGGTCGGGGTGTTGCTGTGTGTCAAAGTGCTCTAAAGTCGAGTGTAAAGATGCCACAGAAACCAAAGCTGCTCCAGTCACTCACCCACTGGGTCCACACTGTCAATGTGGTCTACAAAGTCCCGCTTCCCCAGGTAAAGGGTGAGCTGTGGGCAGAGAAAACAAAACATTATCTCCATCCAACTGCAATATCCATTGTCCATTCCTTCACCAACTCTCCTCCCGGGAGATTCCCACGTGTAGGTGACATACACACGTGTAACTCTCAGTCTGGTTTGGAGAGTCTTACATGTTGCGACGGGTTTCCCTGTGTGTCAGACACGGATGATACAAACATTGGTTGTATTCCAGGACAATGTTCCTTTGAGTTGTAAGTTCACACTGAATCTGTTTGAAACATTCCCTCCCCACTCCCCACCCCCCCCTCCCCACGCCCCCCACCCCCCACCCACTCCCCACCCTCCCTCCCCATCCCCCACCCCCCACCCACCCACTCCCCACCCTCCTCCCTCCCCACTCCCCCACCCCCACCCTCCCTCCTCCTCACTCCCCCACCCCTCCCCCCACAGGCGGTGAAAGGCGAGATGGCATCCCAGTCCTACCTTGGCATTTTTACTCATCTTCTTGAAAACTCTGTAAATTTGGAGAGTAAAGAGTTAACACCCATGCCGAGCATAGCACTGTGTGACAGTGTGTGACGGTGTGTGTGACGGTGTGTGTGACGGTGTGTGTGAGACAGAGAGAGTTTGTATGACATTGCGTGTGTGCGAGACAGGGAGAGTGTGTGACAGTGTGTGTGCGCGTGTGTGAGTGAGTGTGTGACACAGTGTGTGTGAGACAGAGTGTGACACAGTCTTTGTGTGCGAGACAGGGAGTGGGTGACAGTGTGTGTGTGTGTGTGTGTGTGTGAGTGACATAGTGTGTGTGAGACGGAATGTGACACAGTGTGTGTGTGAGATGGAGAGAGTGTGTGTGTGTGAGATGACACTGTGGGGAGTTGGGGTGATGGAGAGATGAAGTATACTCCTCACATTACTGACCGCGGCACATTGAATGAGGCACTTTTCCACTTACTTTCCAATATTACCAGCCATGATGACTCGCAGATACAGCTGTGTGTGTGGTGATGGTGGGGGGTGGGGGAGAGAGGTGAAGTGGGGGAGAGGGGAGTGGGGGGGGAGAGGGGAGTGGGGGGGGGAGAAGAGAGTGATGAATAGTTTTAATAATCATTCACTTCCAGATATTCAGCTTCACTCAGACGCACACAGTGGTTTATCCTGAAATAATAATTTTTTGATACAGCGCCTTATCACGTTGTTGAGACATCTCAAAGCGCTTCACAAGATATACAGGAAAGTGAATTGACTGCACTTTCCAATTGCGCACAGCAGCGTCCCACAAACACAAACATTCGTGGATTGAGTGACCAAATATATATATATATCTTTCAAGGGATTATTATTCCCAAAAAGCAATGTGCCATTCAGCTAACAGCCGGGTTTGCACTTACCGCTTGGTGAACAGAGGCGTGCGGAGTTAGGAAAGTAAGGTTTCGTCCCGCTCGGGAATCAAACCCGGGTCCTCTCGTTTGCGAGGCGAGTGCGCTAACCACTGAGCTACAGGACTGCAATTTGATATGAACTCTGGGCTCAGAAGGTCTATTACAGCAAAGAGAGCATTACACGGAGTGTGTGTGTGTGTGTGTTGGGGGTGCGGGGGGGGAAGGAGGAAGCGGCAGTTTAAAACCTCTCTCTCTAATCTCGAGGCTCAGGCGACTTGTGTGAGGACTGAAACCTGGGTATTACTGAACAGCTAAAGAAAAAGAGCTTTGGTCAGTGAGCGCGGATTAGGTTCAACTCAAAGCTGTACTTCAGCTTCTAAATAACTTAGATATCTTTACCCAAAGATCTGCTAATTTGCAGATCCCAGTGTAGGGGAGAGCGTGGGGCGGGGAGAGGCACATGGCCCAGTGTGTGACCCCCCACCCCCATGTCTGTGTGAGACCCCCTGTGTGTGTGTGTGTGTGTGACCCCCTGTGTGTGTGTGTGTGTGCAACCCCTTGTGTGTGTGTGTGCGCAACCCCTTGTGTGTGTGTGTGCGCAACCCCTTGTGTGTGTGTGTGTGCGCAACCCCTTGTGTGTGTGTGTGTGCGCAACCCCTTGTGTGTGTGTGTGTGTGTGTGTGTGCGCAACCCCTTGTGTGTGTGTGTGTGTGTGTGCGCAACCCCTTGTGTGTGTGTGTGCGCAACCCCTTGTGTGTGTGCGCAACCCCTTGTGGTGTGTGTGCGCAACCCCTTGTGTGTGTGTGTGTGTGTGCGCAACCCCTTGTGTGTGTGTGTGTGTGTGCGCAACCCTTTGGTGTGTGCACAACCCCTTGTGTGTGTGTGCAACCCCTTTTGTGTGTGTGTGTGTGTGCAACCCCTTGTGTGTGTGTGTGTGTGTGTGTGCGACCCCTTGTGTGTGTGTGTGTGCGACCCCTTGTGTGTGTGTGTGTGTGCGACCCCTTTTGTGTGTGTGTGTGTGCGACCCTTGTGTGACCCACACACTGGGCACAGTTTCGTTACCTGGAGAGTTGGTTCAGGTTCTGCTCCTGGTTCAGGTCCTGGTGTGGGTGGGATCTCTGATGAGTGTAACAATCTTCAAGGCTCGTCTCCAGCTCTCACACCCCAGGACTACACAGCACTCACACCCATTCCTGCTTTATCCCAGTCCTCGCTCCTCCCAGGGCATCCTCCCGGCCACTCAGCACCCACCCCTACCCCCACCCAGCCTCACCTCCACCCATGTTTCCCAGCTGATCCCATTAAACGCTTAACGTGGCTGGAAACAGCGCATTACATAAGGGCTTGCATGCGAGGCTTCAGTGCAGGTAAAGAGGATTGCTTGGGGGGAGATTATAGTTTAGCACTCAGTATGATAAGACGGAGTGTTTGTGGGGGAGGATGGGGGTTTGCTCAGTCAGCCGTGTCCCTTCCAACGATATGATGTTACATCACAAGTTACACAAAGTGTGTGGACGGACAGATTTGGTGCCAGGGGAATGGATTAGCCCTCAGATACGTACAGCCTTTGCTATCTGTGGACCAAGGGCGGCTATATATAAAGCCTCACCTTTATTTAGTGCCTGGTGGACCTCAGCCAGATTAAGGACTTTGGGGAGAATTAGAAACGTCTCAGAACGCTTCACGAATAATTTTTTGGCAAGTTTCGTGGGCGCAACGTGGCAGCTATTTGCAGACAGTAACCTCCTGCCAGCAGCCATGAATGGAATGACCGATTTTCTAGGTGATTGTCGGCCAGGACACCGAGAGAGAGAGCGAGAGAGAGAGAGAAAGAGGGCAAAACTCTCTTCTCTTTTCGAATAGCGACGCAGGACCTGAACAGGCACAGACCAGAGCTCGGTTTAACATCTGACCCAAAAGATGGCACCACTGACAATGCTGCGCTCTGGGATGGAACGTCAGTCAGCCTAGACCGTGAGCTCCAAGCTTCATGTAACTTGTGACGTAACGTCACATTTTTGTTTCTGGCCTCACCTGCGGCCGGGTTCACTGGTCGCATCTCGAGAGCTGACGGCATTTGGTCGATGCCGCAGGAATGCTGAACTGCGGAGACGAGTGATGGTCTGTGACACGTGATCCTATTTTTAACTCCAACCTGAAGCTTGAACAGGACAATCTGCCTTCTGTCAGCTGAAGGAGATAGAGGGACGGACGTGTCCAACAAACCCAGCAACACAGATTAAACTAATGAAACTCAGAGCTGCTCACCGCCCCCTCGCTGGAGCCTTCTAGAGTAGAGATGAGCGCGCTCACCTCACCTCACCAACAATCACGTCGCTGAGACGTCTCAAAACACTTCACAGAATATACTGTAAAGTGGAGCCACTGTGTATTTGTGGGTGAAACACTTGCAAGTTTTGTCCCAATTTCATTTAATTTAATCAGGGCTATTGTGACAGCTATTGTGACCCTCCCTGCCCTCCACCCGCTCGGATCTAATCCCTGATTGTTCAGCGCCTTAGGATGTCCTCCTGACCATGAATAATTTGGGATTGTTTTGGAAGGTGACCCTGAGGAAAGATCAATTCCTCAAAGTGTTCCGACACTCGTAACTTGCTAAGACTCTTGCTTATCACTCTGGAGAAGGACAGATGGAAGGTTTTACGTTCCACGTAATTAACGGCAATGCTTGCTAATCCTCTTATTGCACCCGCTGACTTTTCCCAGTAAGTAGGAACCCAGTTGTTAGTCGATCGGCGGATCGCTTTCTGAGGGTAATGATCCCTTCAAATTTTTTTTTAAAAATATAATAATTTGGTCACTCAAACCACGACTGTTTGTGGGATCTGCTGTGTGCTATTGGCTGCTGCCTTTCACCCGCAAAACACACAATCACTACACTTTACAGTACAGTCTGTGAAGCGCTTTGAGACGTCTCAATGACGTGATAAGGCCCTATATCAAATGCAAGGATTATTATTATTGGTGAGGCTGTCAATGGGATGGAAAGTCCACCAGGGGGTATGTGTAAGTGTGAGACAGCAGAGCATTGGGAGGAGTGTTTCTATGTGTTAAAGAACACAGCCCTTGCGTGTGAGAGTGAGTGAGGGCACAGACGCTGTGTGACTGGCTGTCTGTCTGGCTGGCTGGTAGGAGCAGGGAGAGAAGCTGAGAGCTGTCAGCTTCAGGGTCAGGGGCTGACGAGGGTGAGTGTGTGTTTGCTGAGCTCGAGCTGTCCCTCCGCTTGCCTGTGTGAGGATTAACACACTGTCTCTCTCTGTCTGTGTGGAGTTTTACACTAACAACTAGAGTTCTGGTGAAGGGTCATCGACCTGAAACGTCAACTCACTTTCCTCTCTCCATAGATGCTGCCTGACCCGCTGCGTGTTCCCAGCCACTTCTGGCTTTATTTCAGATTTCTAGCATCTGCAGTATTTTTGCCTTTTGTGGATTTACACCACTCTCTCTCTGCTGTTCCTCTCTCAGTTTCTGATGAAGGCATGTTGAGTGCTGGGGGGGGTGGGGGGGGGGGTTTGTTACAGACACAATGCACCCCTCCCCCCCCCCCCCCATTGCCAACTCGCTGAAGTGGGTGTTGAACGAGACCCTCTGAGTTCCAAAGGGTATTTATTGGCAAGTCTCCAGCAGTGGGCGAGAGGGCAAAGGGTGGGTGGGTGAGTGATGGATTGGGAGGGCAGTGGGTCAATGACAGAGAGCGAGGAGTGGGGGGGATGGTCAGCAGGAGGTCACAGGCATCTGTTGGGTGTGAAGAACCTTGAAAAGCTACCAGATATCTACCCCCCCACCCTCACCCCCACCTCTCGTCCGCCTGTTCCCCATCGCTGCCCCCGCTCGGTGTCTGACGCCTATTGCAGTGTGTGCTGTAAGCTGTAGAGTTACAGTGTGTGGGAGCGAGTGTCGTTAGCGATGAGGATCTGATTAACAAGCGATGAGGGGGCTGCTGCTCCTTAAAGGGGCCACCGCGCTCGCCACTGCGCCTGGGACCCCTTCCTCAGGGAGGAAGAGAGTCGTTCACACCCTGACCTCACAGTGTGTGTCAGTGTCACAGACACATTTACAGTCGCTCATCTCTCCTCTTGTCACGGCCTGTCACACAGTCAGTAGCTCCCTGTCTCTGGAGTCAGGAAGTAGTGGGTTCGAGCCCCCAACCCCCCTCTGCCCCCCACCACCCCAGTCAGGGACCCTGAGCTCACAGTCTGTGCTGACGCTCTAGACTGGTGCTGGGGGGAGCCCCCACACTGTCAGAGGCACAGTCCATCGGATGAGCCGTTAAACCACCCGCACCCCCCACCCCCAGTTCAGACCGAGGTTAAAGATCCCGCCATGTATAATGGAAATACTTTGTCATTCATTTCATGGCTGTTTGCGGGACCTTGCTGTGGGGCAAAATGGCCTCCGTGTATATCTACTTAAACGGTCACTACACCTGATAACAATTACCTGTGAGATGTTACAGGCGCTGTATCAATCACAGGGATTATTACAGCTCAATAAAGAGCTCAATGTTCTGTGTGTATGCGCATGCGTGTGCGTGTGCGTGTCTGTTTCTCTCTCTCTGTCTCTCTCTATGAGTGTGTCTCTCTCTGTCTGAGGGTGTGTGTGTCTCTCTCTGTCAGTGTCAGTGTATATATCTCTCTGCGTGAGTGTGCATATCTCTGTCTCTCTGAGTGTGTCTATGTCTCTCGCTCTCTGTCTATGTGAGTGTGTGTGTTTGTGCATGTGTGTTTCAATGTCTGTGTGTGTATCTCTCTGTGCGTCTATGTCTCTCTATCTCCTTACACGTCTGTGTGTGTGTGTGTCTCTCTGTGAGTGTCTGTGTCTCTGTGTGTGTGTGTGTGTGTGTCTCTCTCTCTGGCTTTCTCTCTATATATGAGTATGTGTGTCTCTCTAGGTATGTGTGTATGAGATCTTGTGGCTGGACGATGGGGTGGGTACGTATACTCAGTGTTTCTTAATATCTCCTTAAACCTGTTAATAAACACAATTTATTTTCTCTCACACAGGCCGGACAGTGAGGAGGGCGGAGGGCAGGGAGCGGGCAGGGAGAGGATGCCTCTGTCCAGGCCACTCTGGCATCACTGGGACATCAGCCGCACCCGAGCCGAGGAGCTGTTGGCCAAAGCTAACAAAGATGGCAGCTTCCTGGTGAGGGACAGTGAATCGGTGGCCGGAGCCTACGCCCTGTGTCTGCTGTAAGTACTTCTCGCGGTCGTTCATACTCAGAAACACCGGGGACGCACACACACATCCCACACAGTTACACACGCTTACACACACTCACACACGCTTATACGCACTTACACACAGTTACACAGGCTTACACATGCTTACACACTCACACACAGCTACGCACGCTTACACACACTCACACACGCTCACAGTTACACACGCTTACACACACTCACACGCTCAGTTACACACGCTTACACACACTTACAAACTCACACTTACTCACTGCTTACTATGCGCCTTACACGCATTTTACATGCAGTTAACACGGGGCAGCCAATTTGCTCACAGCGACATCCCCACAAACAGCCATGAGGTGAGTGAGTGATTTTATCTGGGGATTGTCAGCCAGAACACTGGACACGCGGAACTTACACAGGGCTCACATGTAGCTTACACGTGTACACACATGATGCAGCAAATGGCAGAGAACCCTGATGATGGGGGAAATGGGGGTGGGTGGGTGGGGGGAGAAAGGGGACCGCGTGTTTATGACGGGCGGAAAGTAGAACCGGGCCAGGTACTGTAACTACGGAAACAGTGCAACTGTCTATTGATGTCCTTGGTTCTTCCTCTCACTCTGACTCAAACCCGAAGCCTGACACCCCATCTTAGGCGTGTTTCCTTACTCCACACGCCTGTTTACCCAGCAGTAAGTAGGAACCCGGTTGTCAGTTGATTGGGGGAATCATTTTTCCCGGGTTAATTAATAATCTCTAAAAAAATTGGGTCACTCAATCCACGGCTGTTTGTGGGGACGCTGCTGTGCACAATTGGCTGCCGCGTTTCACCCACAAAATACACAGTCACTTCACAGTGTATATCCTGTGAAGCGCTTTGAGACTTCTCGAAGATGTGATGAGACGCTGTATCGAATGCCAGGATTATTATTATTATTATTACCCCAGGCTGTGTGAAGCGTGGGGGGGGAGGGGGCTAATGGGGATCATCACTGCCCACCACAGCCACACACACTCTCTAAGATGATCAACATTCAGCTCCACAGAAGCCACAAGGGGAAGTCAGCACAGAGTTAGAGCAAGTACTTCTGTGAGGAAGTAACAAGTGACAGCTTTAGATACTCTAACATTAGAACAGCAAGAGCAGAGGAAAGTTAGACCAATCACCCCCCTCGCAGGGGTGGAGGGGTCTCAACCTCTCTCTTTCCCCACCCTCCGCCAGGGGGTCTATTGACAGAATATCCATAGACGTTCAGCCCCTCTCTCTCCCCCTCCTCTCTCCCCCTTCTGCTCCCGTTCGCCCCCTGACTCTCCCCGAAACGTGCCTTTCTATGGTCTGGGTTTTCAGTGAGAAGTGCAAAGCTGAAAAAGGTGCATCTAAACCACCCATGTGGTCTCACATCCGTCTCACAGGAGGCTTAACCATAGTGAGGGGTGAGGCTGGGGGCTGGGGGGGAGGCGAGGGAGCTTGTGACCTACTTTCAGATCCAATGCTGTTCCTGCAAAACACACAGTCACTACACTCTGCGAAGCACTTCAAGACTCGTCGACCATGCGCTGTGACGAATGTGCGGATTATTTATCATTTGATTTTCCTCGTGCCGAGAGATGTTCTCTCGACGTGAAAGGCGCCATGTAAATAATCTGTATTGTGTTGTTTTGCTTCTCCATTTGGCGTTGGGTTCAAACCCATGTCCTCTGGAGATGGGAAGATCTTTGGTTTCTGCCCACTACTACTACTAATAATAATAATCCTTGCATTTGATAAAGCGCCTAATCACGCTGTTGAGACGTCTCAAAGTGCTTTGCAGGCTATACTGTAAAGTTTAGTGCCTCTATATTTTGTGGCAAAGCCGACACTTGTTGCTGTTTGGGGTTGTGCACAGACGAAAGCTGAGAGTCGTTGGATGGAATTGGAGCGGCTGAGTAATAGGGTGACTAGTTTGCTCCGAGTCTCTTTTCTTGTGGTGCGCTGTCTTCTTGCTGATAGCACGGTCTGCAACCTGTGGTGTGACAGAGAGTGGGAGAGAGAGAGAGAGTGCAGTGTGACAGAGGCAGAGAGAGCTGGTGAAAGCGAGAGGTGAAAAATGAGACTTGCAACTGATTCCGATGGGGTTGGGGGCGGTGGGTGAGGAGAGGCAGAAACAACAGGAGAGGATGTAGGGGCGGGGAGGGGGAAATGTGTTATGGGTCGTGAATAAGAGATCAGAGGTCTCCTAAACCAGAGTACATTTGGAGGCCCTTTGAACTACGCACACAAAATATACAATAGCTTTCTAAAATACTTTGTTACATGACTTCACAGTTGCAAACGTGTCAACTCCAGGATCCAAACTGTGTGCAGGTCTCAAATCGTGCTCAACAGACACGACAGTGTGAGTGCATTCACTCCATCCTGGATCAGTGTAGATCTGGGTGAGTTCTTGATGACACTCGTCTTTGAGAGCGAGCGATCACTTTCACGGGCGGTTACTGAGCACGTTAATGAGTTATTCTGTCAGAAGTGTGGAGCTCAGTGACCTGCCTGGGTAGCCGCTGGTTATTTTTGGTCAGCCGGGTGGACGTCTGACACACGTGGAAACCCATCACCGTTGCTTAAGAGTCTCCAAACCAAACTGAGAATTCCCCACATCCCATCCACACCTGGAAATCCCAGAGATAGATTGTTGAAATGGAAAGCGGACGCATCCTACCTACATTGGAGGGGATGGGTGAGGAGGGGATGGACAGAGGATGTGAGAGGAATGCAGGCCATGGGGTGGGGGCAGGGGGTGATGGGGTGGTTGTTGAGTAGCAGTGCTATGATAGGTTTGTGGGATGGAATCATGGGGATACAGGAGCAGAGGGTGCTGCGGGTCTGGCTGGGGGTGAGGTTGGGGGTTGAGCTGTTCCTCGATAATGTGTCTCTCTGTCTCTGTCCCTCCCCGGCAGGTTTCAGAAACAAGTGCATACATACCGTATCCTGCAGGACTCTGATAACTTCCTGGCCGTCCAGGTATGCTTAAGCTCAACACCGTGCAGTCCTGTAGCTCAGTGGTTAGAGCACGCGCCTCGCAAGCCAGAGGATCTGGGTTCGATTCCCGATCAGGGTGAAACCTTAGGCACATTTCCTCACTCCCCTCACGCCTCTTTACCCAACAGTAAGTAGGAACCTGGGCGTTGGTCGATTGGTGGATCGCTTTTCCGGGGTTAAGAATCCCTTCAAAAAATATAAATGAATAATAATAATTTAGTCACTCAATCCACAACTGTGTGTGGGACTCTGCTGTGCACAATCGACTGCTGCGTTTCACCCACAAAATTACTTTACAGTCAACTCACTTTACAGTATATTCTGTGAAGCTCTTTGAGGCACTGTGTCAAATGCAAGGATTATTGTTATTATCTACACAGCGTCACACAGAATGATAGTCAGGCCACACAAGCCTCCGTCCCTCCTATTGCCCTCTGCTGTCCACTTCTCTCTACTCCATCTCTGTTATGCTTTTGCATCAAGTTTCCTCTTCAACACATTGATGCTTTTTTTGCTACACCCACAGCTTCCGGCTGTGAGTTCCACATTTTTACCAACATCTATTTGTGTGAAAATGTTCCTCCAAAACCCCCTGGTAGGATCTACCACAAGTTATCTTATATTGATGCCCTTTAGTTTGGGCCTCACATAAACTAACCACTTCTTTCTTTATTTAGGTCCTCTCCTTCCCATTAGTTTCAGTCTAGTCCCTTGCTATGGAGATCTACCCTTCACAACCTGGACATTCCACATAGATGTATATAAGTTGGTAGATACGGCGCTGGGGTATGTCGCCTTCTAGGGGTAATGATAAGAACTGCAGCCGGTTGAGTTTGTCAAGTCACTCAGACAATAACTATTACAATAAACATCACATGTTGAGGCGACCACATCCTGACTGGTCCTTTGTTACCAGGAAACCTTGTTAATAAGCATATTTGGCAAGTCAGTTACAGCTAAAGGTCTGCGCTTCACTAGTCATGAGGCCGTGTTTCAGACGAGGGGCCCCAGCCAACCAACCGCCTCTGCAAAACATCGCCTTCCTTTCCATTGAGGAGTTATGATAATAATCCCTCCATGGGATACAGCACCTTATCACTCTGGTGAATTGACTGTATGTTTTGTGGCCAAAACACGGTAGCCAATTGAGTACAGCAATGTCCCATAAACCGTCATGGGTTGAGTAACCAAATTATTATAATTTATTTATTTTTGGAAGGGATTATTACCCCCGTAAAAGTTTGTGGAACATTGCTGTGCACAAATTGGCTGCAAAATACACAGTCACTGCACAGTGAGTTATGGCAATTTCTGTGAAGTGCTTGGAGATATCATCAGAACATAAGAATTAGGAGCAGGAGTCGGCCATTCGGCCCTTCGAGCCTGTGCCCCGCCATTCGATAAGATCATGGCTGATCTTCTCACCTAACTCTCATTACCTGTCCTCTCCCCACATCCCCTAATCCCTCTATTTTTTTAAAAATCTATCAGTCTCAGCCTTGAAGGTATTCAAGGACTGACATCTACAGCCTTCTGGGGTAGTGAATTCCATAAATTCTGAGTTTCTATTTTTGCTACCCAGGTGAATACCTTCACACTTCCCCACATTAAATTCCATCTGCCACCTCCTCGCCCACTCCCCCTAACATATCTATATCCCGTTGCAATATTTTTGCATCCTCCCAATGTGAAAGGGCCCGTATCAAATGTAAGGATTATATTGCTTTTATTTTATATTCCAGACATCACAGGGAGTTCAAGTGAAACGTTTCTCCTGTCTGGGTGACCTCATCACAACCTATCAACAGCCCAACCAGGGCTTAGTGACATCTCTGCTCTACCCAGTGGAGAGAGAGAAGGAGAGGGAGGTGGCAGATGATTGTTCAGGTAATGTATACACCCACAGAGTAAAGTTCCCTCTACACTTTGCGTCCACACTCCCAGGTCAGGGTTAGAGACACAGTAAAGCTCCCTCTGCACTGTGCGTCCACTCTCCCAGGTCAGAGTCTCTTGTCTCTGTCTCTTCGCAGATGGTGAGGATGAGAGACCAGCGTTGCCGCCACGTCCTGGGGTCACCGGCACCATCTTGGGCTCCGAAGCTAAAACGCTGGCGATAACTCAGCAGCTACAGCAACGAATACAGGATGGCGGGCTTAGCAGGTACCGGGGGGGGTGCGTGTGTGTGTGTGTGTGTGCAATTATCTCCCAGTAGGTTCGGCGGTGGGGGGGTGGGGTGTGAGCAGGCATTTCCCCCCGCAGGCTTGGGAGGACTGAATACCACCCTCTCACGGCCTTCCCAATGAGCCATGTGATTGTGACACTCACTGTGTATTTTGCAGGGGAACATCCCATTGGTATTGATGGAGAAGCTTTATTGGAACGGGCGAGTTTGGTGGGAGGAGCGGACAGCTTGGGCTGAGTGGTGGCGGGTGAGGACGCGTGGTTTGGTCGGGGTGAGGACGCGTGGTTTGGTCGGGGCGAGGATGGTCGGTTGGGTGGAGCAGGGCGAGAAAGGTTGGGCAGGGGCAGGTGGATTGTTTGGCATGCGTTGGCTTCTGACATGTCTCTTTCCTGCCCAGTGACGTGGTCGGATCGCTGAGCGAGTATCTCAGAGCAAACCTCCAGCAGGACCTGGAGTGCGTGAGGTCAGGATCCACCAACCTCCGGCACCTCAACTCCACCATCGTCAACTTGTGCCATAACCTACAGAGGTACGGTGAGCCTCGGTGACAGAACTACCACAAGGGGGCACCATCTGGGAGTGGTTCAGAAACCAAGCGCTCCAGAATTCCTCCTCGTCTCAGTCTCGTGAACCCACTTAGTCTTAACATTTAAAGTCTCACACAACAATTCCTCATTCCACTCTTCATTTGGAAGCTGGGCTTCACTGGCCAAACCTCTCCTCATCTTCTGGGCCCTTCAGCAGTACGGCTAGTTTGGGTCAACCGTGGTCTGACACGTGTAAATCCATCACCGTGATCACCCTGGTGTCTGACACATACCACATAGCTTGCCATTGGGAGCACTGTCTGGCAAGCTTTCCCTCTGCGTGTCCAGCTAGGACTACCCTCCAAGTTGGGGTTTTGGATTGCAGGAGCTGAGTGGGAAGAATCCCTGTCCCTAGCGACCAATCTTCCTCTGCTGATGAGCCAATCTGTCTGGGCTGTCATCAGTAGGGCCGTTGCCTGATCACTTTCCCAATCTAACCACTTGCTTCTCTGTGTCTCCCATCAGTGAGGTGGACCTGGTGCTGTCTAACATGGAAGTGTTGATGAAGGTGTTTGACAAGCAGAACTCGCCCATGACCCCACCCAAGAAACAGGTGAGGCGAGCACCGGTGGAGGGGGTGGGTGGAGACGGCATGAACGATTGACGGAATGGCTGGCTCATTGGGCTTTCTGGAGTCCTGCAGCGTGGTGGGGCACTGCAGTGCACAATTGGCTGCTGCGTTTTCCCACAAAATAACAGTCACTCCACTTTACAGTATATCCTATGAAGCACTTTGAGGCGTCTCGACTATTATTATTGCTAGTATTATTATTTCTCTCTCGGCAGCTGACCCAAGGCAGCAGCCAGAGCAGTGACACTGAGCTGGACAAACTCGTCAACAAGATCTCGTCCCTCAACGACCTGTTGTCTTCAGCGGAGCTGAAGGTAATGAAGAAGGACAGAGGTTGCACCTTGTCACTTTAAGACAGCTCAGCGCCTCGCAAGGAAGTGGCGTCCGAGTGTAGTGAGGCAGCCAATCGGCTCCGCAAACAGCCGCGAGGAGCACGAGCGATTGCTCAGGGGAATTGCCGGCCAGATGTCTGCGAGAGAGAAACCCCCAGCAGCGCCATGGGATCTTTAACGTCCCCCCCCTGAACAGGCACAAATAGTTTAAACCCGGATCAGCCCCCTGACTCACTGCCCCACACCTGAGGGTGGACATTCCACCCGGGTCTCTCCATGAGGCATCCTGGAGTAGCCGGGATTTGGCAAATTGTTGAATTTGGTCTGAACTTTGAAGTCGGGATTCGATTCAATCAATCAATCAATCAATCAGTCAGTCAGTCAGTCAGTCAGTCAGTCAGTCAGACAGACAGACAGAATTCCTCCCCACTGGTCATATGCGCTCTCTGGTGCAGACAGAGGGGCAGATGTATGGTTTGATGACGAGGGAGAGAAGTGAGGGATTTGAAGGCCTGGCTTTGGGTATTGACGTCCAGCTGGGTTTTTGTGGTTTATCAGGTCCTGAAGTCTCTCCAAGAGATGATCAACAACCAGAGCGTCACATTACCCTGTTACCCTGGGACCTCTTCCACACAGGGCTCCTGCATGTCTTCCAAATCGATTCCTCTCCAGAGCTTCGAGGTAAATAAAATAGGCGAAAACGATTTATTTGGGCATTTGCGCGATGTTCACAGGGGCCATTGTCGGTCCCTCCCTCACACACACTCGGCCATGGCCCGAGGGAGGAAGGAACTTGCCCGGGTCGATGGTTAAAGACCATTCTCTACTTGTCTCCCTGCCAAGCGGAATGATCGTGACGTCCTCTCAACACGTTGCCAGTCGGTAACAGCACAAAGTGGCACAAACTTGGCAATATCGTTGGCAGCGAATCAACCACAAGTTGCCTGACGTGGGGGGAAATGGAAACATCACACTGAGCTGACGTGTGCTGTTATGAGCTTCAATCAGCTGAACCCACACTCTCACAGCCTTCCCACTGAGCAGCCACCTTCACTGCAGCGGCTAAAGGAGAAAAGGAGCTGCTACTTGGTCTGTTCCCCCCCTCTCCCCCCAGCTCGGTGTCCTGCTCCGTCACTGTCAAGCGCTCTGGGACGTGACCCTGTGTGAGGGGCGATATACAAATGCAAGTTGTTGTTGCGGAGCACACAAACACAAACACGTACACACACCAAACGTCCGTCCGTCCGTCCCACTGCGCTGCCCGGGCTGACAGTCCGTGCCCTCTCTCTACCTGCAGGTGCGTCTCGGCAAAACCCAGAAACAGACGCTGATCCTGGACGTGGAGGCAGGGAAGCTTCACATCAGCAAGAAATCCAACAGCTCCCCCGAGGAGTCCATCTCCTACGAGAAAAGTGAGGAACCCTCGGAGCGCAGCGTTTGAGTCTCGGGTTCGTTCCTTTGCTGAGAGCCGGCTTCTGTGTGGCTTGTCCAACTGACCTGGTCTTATCTTCTCCTCTCCTCCTCTTCTCTCCATTCCTCTCCCCTCCTCCATCAGTTCTGCAGCTCATTAAGTACCAGAGCACGCCCAGCAAGCTGCAGATTGTGTTCGAGAAGGACTCGCAGAAAAACCAACAGAGGGACTTCATATTTGAGAACGCCCGGGTACGTCACACCAACTCCAGGTCCAAGTGCTTCCCAGGCACCAAGCGTAGTGACTGTATTTTGTTGGTAAACACGGGTGGGTGGAAGTTAATTTTATGAGGTGACAATTTGAAGTGATGCGGTTGGAGATGGTTTGAGATGATGGGGTTGGAGATGGTTTGAGATGATGGGGTTGGAGATGGTTTGAGATGATGGGGTTGGAGATGGTTTGAGATGAAGGAGTGCTATATTAACTGACATCCTCTCTGTCCTCTCTAGAAGCGAGAGGCTTTCTGCCAGCTTCTGCAGCTGATCAAGAACAGGCACTCAAACCAGGACGAGCCGGACATGATCTCGGTCTTTATCGGTACATGGAACATGGGTGAGGCTGAGCAGCAACTCCAACACGGTGTAGCATTTGTGTTTGTAGTAAATGGTTAACAAATAGAGCGGTGGATCTGAGTCCATCCCTAACACCCGAAGAGTTGTGATCTTCAGTTTTGAAGACTGGGTCATTGAAGTTGGAACAAAGGGAGTGGTGGGAGAGCAATAGATCCAGCAGCAGAGGGTAGGGCTGGAATGTAAGGTTGGAGATGATTGTGTGGTGAGTGTGGGCGAGAGTTGACCGCGAAGTGATATTAAGAGGACAGACTCGATGTGGGAGGGGATGTGGAGGTTAAAATGTTGGCTAGGAAATGGTGATGTCTTTGTCAGGAGGGGAAGAGTAACTGGGAAATGAGGATAATTTTTTTTTGTGGGGGGGTGTGGGTCTCAACAGGCAGTACCCAGCCCCCAAAATCCAGCACCTCGTGGCTGATGTCCAAGGGTCTCGGGAGGACCAGGGACGAGACCACAGCTGCCATCCCTCATGATATCTATGTGATCGGGACCCAGGAGAACGCGCTGAGTGACAAGGACTGGGTGGATTTCCTGAGAGCGACCATCAAGGATGCCACGGAGCTGGACTTCAAAGTGGTAGGAATGAAAGTTGGGGGGAGCAGTGGGTTGGGGGGGGAGAGAATAACCCAGGGCTCTAACCTGTGTGACGGGTAAGAGTTGAATGGCGTCTCCGATAATGAAAAGCCAGAGAGTCAATCTCCATCTCCCTCCCACCCCCCCCCCCCTACCCCCCACCCACCGCGGGCATCCCTTTCCCTCTCTGGACTTTGGGATTCTTAGTTTAGATACTTGACCCCCAGTCCAAACAAATTCCTTTCGGCCTTCCAAGGAGGCTTCCCCCCCACCCACCCCCTCGGCCCGCACAACTACAGCACAACGTTTAGACCAGTGACCCCCGTTTGTAGACACGGACCCCATACTCACGCCTCCGGACTCCTGGTTCTGATGCCGGTGTTGGGTTGGGTGGTGGTGCTGGGGTTTGATGTGACGATGCTCTCACTGCAGGTGGCCACCCAGTCATTGTGGAACATTAAAATCGCAGTGTTGATCAAAGCCGACCACGAGAATCGCGTCAGTCACATCAACACGTCCAGCGTGAAGACAGGGATCGCCAACACCCTGGGTGAGTGACGCCATCCCTACACACAGCTTCTCACGCCCGCGGCTCAACTCACAGTCCAGGCCGGGGCTCCAGCCCACTGCTGGGGGGACGGGGGGGAAGCACTGCATTGTCAGAGCCGTCAGCCCCCAGAGGGGACCTTAAAACTAAGTTCCTTTTCAGGTGAGTTTGAAGATCCCCTCACGACGTTGGAAAAGAGAGGAGAGTTTCTCCTCTGGTGTCCTGGCCAGCAACACTGGAGATAAATTAATCATTCAGTTCACGACTGTGTGTGTGTGTATGTGTGTGTGTGTGTGTGTAAAGTGTAGTGACTGTGTGTGTGTAAAATGTAGTGACTGTGTGTGTGTGTGTCTGTGTCCCAGGTGGTGGGAAGGAAGAGAGAGGGCTCTTTGCAAATTGGCTGCAGGCTGTGCCTACACATGCTCAGCCATAATCAAGTCCCTGTGAAGGACATTGCGATGTTATGGGCGACGATTATTGGCTGTCAGCATCTGCCGGGCACGAGTCACCACTGAACCTCTGTCTCTCTCTCTTTACCTCACAGGGAACAAGGGTGCAGTGGGCGTTTCCTTCCTGTTTAATGGGACGTCTTTTGGTTTCGTGAACTGCCACCTGACGTCAGGCAGTGAGAAGGTCCTGAGGTAGGTGGGAGCGATGTCTGTCTGAGAGCTATACAGAGGCACAGTGACCAGCCCCGGAGCCTCGGTTAGCATCCAGGCTTGTCTACACTAACTCCCCGCTTGCCGGACTTACCAACTCTTCCCTCGCCCCTCCTTTGCCTCCTTGAAGGACCGTCTTGACCTCTCCTTCAGTCATTCCCCTCTCCCCACTCCCCTGACCTCCACCCCTCTTGACTCCAGCCCTCAGCTCAGATGCAAACCCTTCACTGTCTAGCACCTTGGGACGTCCTCCCAACGTGAAAGGCGCTGTATCAGTGTGATTTGTTGTTGTTGTTGGCTGGCTCGAGGATTCCTGACGCTGTTTCTGTTTCAGACGTAACCAGAACTACCTCGATATCCTGCGATTGCTACAACTGGGAGACAAGCAGCTCAGCTCGTTTGACATCACCCTACGCTTCACACACCTCTTCTGGCTGGGAGACCTCAACTACCGGCTGGACATGGACGTGCAGGTGGCCCTCCGACAATCACCCCTTCCCTCCTTCCCTTCCCCGAGAGCTCGGCTCAGCTTTAAAACACGGAAGCTCGTTATCTCACCTCGAGTGTCCCCTGTCCACCAGTAACTCCATGCCTGCACTCACTCTGCGCTTTCCAGAGGTAATAACCCCTCCAATAACAAATAATGTGGTCACTCAATCCACGGCTGTTTGTGGGGACGCTGCTGTGCACAATTGGCTGCTGTGTTTCGCCCACAAAATGCCTCACTCCATTTTACAGTATATTCTGTGAAGCGCTTTGAGACGTCTCAATGACGTGGTAAGGTACTGTATCAAATGCAACGATTATAATAATAATTATAATAATTATTATAGTTTAATAATTTAATTATTATTAAATGTCCTTGTTTCAGGATATTCTAAATCACATCAACAAGAAGGAGTTCGAGGTCCTGATGAGTGTGGATCAGTTGAACCTGGAGCGGGAGAAGAGCAAAGTCTTCCTGAGATTCTGTGAGTCAAAATCTTCACCATGTGTCGGTTTGTGCAATTTAAGAGCCGTCAGCAGGAGGTATCTTTTGGTCTCAAAAATGAGTGGTTAAAAGGGGGTGTAATAGGGGGGTGGGGGGAAAGAGAGGTTAAGAGAGTGTGTCGCTCTCTGTGTCAGTGACACGTTGACCTGTTTTGTGTGGTACCTTTACAGGTGAGGATGAGATCACGTTCCCACCCACGTACCGGTACGAACGCAACACCAGAGACTTGTACGCGTGGCAGAAGTTCAAGACCACCGGGGTAAGAGACAGCGGGCTGCCGAGCCCCCCAGAGAGAGAAAGAGAGAGAGAGAGAGAGCACAGAGAGGGGGTTCCCCAACCCAGCAATGCGCTGCTCAGACTGCGTCAATCAATCTTCTCGTTACGAGTAAAGTTTCAGCTGAACCCTGGAAGTGTTGGGATTTTGTCCAACTCATTTTATTCCTTTCCACAATTTTTTTCAGGTGAGAATCAACGTGCCATCCTGGTGTGATCGCGTGCTGTGGAAAGCCTACCCCGAGACATACATTCAGTGCACCTCCTATGGTGAGAGTATATTATTAATAATAATAATAATCCTTGCATTTGATACAGCGACTTATTGCGTCTTCTAGACGTCTCAAAGCGCTTCACAGGATAGACTGTTAGGTGAATTGACTGTGTCTTTCTTACATTAGATATGGCACCTTTCACGTCAGGAGAACGTTTCGAAATGCTTCGCAGGAATATACTGTGAAGTGTAGTGACTGTGTGTCGTGTCAGCGAATGCGGGGGACAGGTTGCGTACAGCGACGTCCATCCAAACAGCCGTGAAGTGAATGAGTGATTTTATCTGAGCCAGGACACCAGGGAGGAGAGAGAGAGAGACTGCCCATGGGCACCTGATGGCACGTGTTTGATGTCTGTTTTAGTAGGGAGTGGTGTCTCTCTCTCCCCCTCCCTCCCCCACACACACTCATGTCTTCCCCTCTCTCCAGGCTGCACCGATGACATTGTGACCAGTGACCACTCTCCCGTCTTTGCCACCTTCGAAGTAGGCGTGACGTCCCAGTTTGTGTCAAAAAAAGGTAAGAGTGAACGACGCTTGATTTTTTTGTGTGTGTGAGGGGGTGGGAGAGGGGTGGGGGAGGGGATAGGGGGAATAACTACCTGACTGACGTTTGTCTCTACTCTCTGCCGTGCGCTAGATCCCGGTAACAGCTCGGAGGGGGCCTGCATCGAGTTCGAGACCATAGACGCCATCGTCAAGACGACCAGCAAGACAAAGTTCTTCATTGAGATTTACTCGGGCTGTTTGGAAGGTCTGAGCGCCAGGAGTCACCGGGACTGTGTTGGTTAGAGGGAGAGGGACGGTGTGTTGTTGGTTAGAGGGAGAAGGACTGTGTGTTGCAGTGTCTGTGCTGCTGAAACGTGAGACTCTCTCTCTATTTCACAGAGTTTAAGAAGACCGCTGAGAACGACAACCAGTACAGTGAATCCCACGGCTTCCTGAGAGTCGCGTGGTCATCCTGGCAGCTACCACTGGTAGGTCATCGGTTCAGCCGCAACTCTCCCTCCCACTGTGCGTCCACACTCCCAGGTCAGGGTTAGATACACAGTAATGCTCCTCTACACTGTGCGTCCACACTCCCAGGTCAGGGTTGGAGACACAGTAAAGCTCCTCTACACTGTGCGTCCACACTCCCAGGTCAGGGTTAGAGACACAGTAAAGCTCCTCTACACTGTGCGTCCACACTCCCAGGTCAGGGTTAGAGACACAGTAAAGCTCCTCTACACTGTGCGTCCACACTCCCAGGTCAGGGTTAGAGACAGTGAAGCTCCCTCTGCGCTGTCTGTAACGTGTGCTGTAACCCGCCATGGGAGTGCTGTGTGGGACAGGGTGATGGCTCATGGATGTGTGTGGGACTTCTCATTAACAGTTGGTGCCCATCTTGTCGGACATGGAATATCTCCAAGACCAGCATCTCCTGCTGACCGTCAAGTCAACTGATGGGTACGAGTCCTACGGTAAGTCCCAGTGACCCGGCCAATCTGGTCTAGTTAGTCATAGTCATAATAGCATAATATCCTAGTTAGGTGCTTACTTTGTTCATTGTTGGTTAATTACTCAGTTGTTTGGTTGCAAGTTGGTCAGTAATATGTGTGAGTCAATTTAATAATAATCCTCGGGTTTGACCCAGCGCCCTATCATGTGGTTGAGACGTCTCAAAGCGCTTCGCAGATTATACTGTAAAGAGGATTCACTGGGTATTTTGTGGGAGAAAAGCGACAGCCAAATACATTCAAATAGTCGTGGATTGAGTCACCAATTTTTTTTTGAGGGGTTATTACCCCCAAAAAGCGATCTGCCAATCAACTAACAACCAGGCTCCGAATTACTGCTGGGTATACAGAGGCGAGTGGAGTAAGGAAACTTGCCCAACGTTTCGGCCAGGAATTGAACCCTGGTCCTCTCGCTTACGATATGCTGCAGGACTCCACTACGGAGTCTTTAATGTCTAATGATCTTTCAATGCCTCTGGCCGCAGGAGAGTGTTGTATTGCTCTGAAGTCCATGATTGGAAGCACCGCCCAACAGTTTGAGACCTGCCTGTCTCACCGGGGGGAAGAGTCTGGGTTCATCCGCGGTAAAATGAAGGTCTGCATCCCGTCGGAGCGCAGAGCGACACGGGAACGCCTGTACGGTAGGTTCCGCCCGCACCCAGCGTTCCCCTCACTCCCCCTCTCTGGAAGCTTAGACATGCTCTCGCTCACCCCCACCACCCCCCCACTCTGAGAGCTGTCAGACGGGATGCCTCTGATCACTGGTGCTGTTTTGCGGGAATGTCAGGTCGTGGAAGCTGGAAGCTGCTTTCCTGCTATTTATCTGAACGTTCCCGGTGGCTCATTCCATGGGATTGATTTCCCACGGAGCTAAAGCTGGTGACAGTTCGTCCATTGGAGCGAACTACACTGATCCCAATTCCCTGCTCTTTCCCCCTATCCTGGGGGATGAAGTGGGTGGGAGAGCGGGTCTCCATGGAGCTGGTCTGGCTTTGAGGTGACATGCATAGCAATTGGAAACAAACTGCCCTTGGCTCCTATGAGCCCTAATGGAGTGGGTGTTGGGGACCAGCTGGGAGCTGGTATTTCTCTGCACAGTCTGACTTGAGGAGATGGTTTTTCCTTTTTGTTTGACTTTCAACAGATTGGATCAGTTTTGAGAAAGACGAGACCGGAGCCCCGAAAGGGAAGATTATATTTTCAAACCAAGATTTCACAGGGTGAGTCCATCACTGGGGCCAGGCTCTCTCTCACTGCGTGGTCTCTTCACTGGCCGAGCCCCTCACTGGGCCAGATCTTAACTCGGGTGTATCAATTTTTAATAATAACCCCTCCAAAACCAAAAACAATAATAAATCGGTCATTTTCAATCTATGACTGTTTGTGGGACATTGCTGTGCGCAATTGGCTGCCGCGTTCGCCCACAAATATACAGTCAATTCACTTTACAGTGTGTTCTGTGAAACGCTTTGGGACGTCCTCCCGACGTGAAAAGCGCTATATCAAATGCAAGGATTATTATTATTATGTGTGTTGACCGCTGTACATAGGTGAGCTCTCACCGGTGACCCTTGGCTTCACAGAGACGGTGGGAAGTCTTCCGGGAGCTTTGATGCCCCTGAGGTGACCGGAGCTGGGTCTCACAGTCGCCCTGATGAAGGTATCCCTGTTGGAGGGGCAGCCACTGGGGGAAGTGTCCGAGGAAGCGAGGAGACCCCACAGGGAAGGTACTGGCACCCAGTGTTGCTGACTCAGAGCCCACCCTGGCTGGGGTGTTGTCAGCGGTTGGGGGGGGGGGGCGGAAGGGGGGGTTATTGGGTTAATAATAATCCTGTTGTCTGTGTTTTTCCCAGGTTGAAGCAGAGCAACGCTCCGGAAGATGACTCCCAGTCCAGCTGCTTCAATAACCCATCGTATTTTGTCCTGGAAGGCATTCCCTACTCCCATTCGGGAAGAGGTTCCCAAGAGAACACTGGGATCCAGGTGGCCAAGACTGTCCCGAGGAACAAGCTGCAGCCAAATCCCCCAAAGGGGCTGGAGAGAGTCAAAGACCCCTCCCGGCGACACCCGAGCAGTGAAGGGTTCTCCTCGGAGGACGAGAGTCTGTGGTGCGGTTCTGACCAGCTGCCGGGAGCTCGGGCCAAGGCCACCGAGCTGGAGATGCAAAACAACCCGCTGTACGCCAGCGCAGCTGAGCTGTGGGACAACAGTGGGCAGACACCGATGCCCAAAGCCGGCCTGGGCCGGGAGGAGAGGCCAGGCAGTGCCCCCACGCCTGTCATGGGCAGGGATCGCGATCGCTCCGAGCCTAAAGCCCGTGGCAAAGCGGCCAAGAGCTCGTCCAGCTCCCAGGGCAGGGCCGGGGCTCAGCCGGCGGCGGTGACTGGGGTGATGGAGGCCGGTGACTCGGAACGCCTCTCCGGCCGAGGTGACTTGCCCGTCCCGGGCCGGGAGTGGCCATCCAAGAGCCCCCCACTGCCCGCCAGGAACAAGGCCCCCGACCTTCAGCCCCGCTACACCCGCCCCAACACCTCTGGACACCAGGAAGTGCCTCCTCCCCTGCCCGCCAAGACCCGATCGGTAGACACCGAGGTAACGATCTTGTAACAGCGACCGTATAACCGCGATCCTTACACTCGTCACAGTGTTTAACGTCGAATCGTCTCAAATCACAGCAGTTAATTTGCAGAACATCCCACAAACAACCGTGAGGTGATCGAACGATTAACTCTGGGGGACTGTCGGCCAGGACAGCAGGACATAGAAACTCCCTTCTCTTGTCCAATAGCCCCGCGTGACCCGGGCCAGGCAGGAGCTCGGTTTAACATCTCACCCAGAGGGCGGCGTCTCTGACACAGAGAGACAGAGATCATACTTTAGGACGAGGCATTTTGACCCATTTGGACCCAGATTGGTTGAGATGATTCTCCCCCCCTCCCCCCGCACACCCTTCTAGATTCTTCCTCTTTCAACGTTTAGCCGATTTCCCTTTGAAATACAATATTCCAGATGTTCTTGCTCTCCCCTCTCTCTCTCTCTAGGCTTCGGACCAACACGGGGACAGCAACATCTGTCAGTTCCTGAAACACCTGGGCCTTGAGGTGTATGAGGCGGGGCTGATAAAGAATGGATGGGATCACATGGACTATTTTCAGTAAGTGCAGTAACAAAGGGGGAGGGGGGGGTGGAACGTGGCCTGGAGATCGTAAGGATGACTGTGGGGGAGGAGAGGAGGGACAACAAGGAGAAAGGGGGCCCATAGTTAGGTCCTCCTCAGCCAATTGGGGCAGAGGGAGTCCTTGGGAGAGAGGGGGGTAGGTAATGGCCTCTACAGGGAATAAGATCGCATCCATCAGGTGGGAGATGAGGGATCAGTGCATATTTGGGGGTCGGGGCATTCTCTAGAGCATTTCCCACAAGGAGTGTGAGTGGGGATGAAACCGGGGGGAGGGAGGGGGGAGTGCATGTGTGTGGGTTAGGGGGGTGTGGGGGCTGGTATCTTCTGCATGAGAACGAGATAGTCCAAATGGTTAACTCAAACCTCAGCTCTGCTCTCTGTGAGTTTGGGTCCATGTTAACTGTGTGGAGGGCTGCAGTGTAGTGTTTAACGCACTCATCTCACAAGCAAGAGGACTCGGGTTTGATTCCGGGGCAGGTCAGGGCGAAACCTCAGGCAAATATCCTTACTCCACACACACACACACACACCCACACAGGCCTCTGTTTACCAGCAGTAAATAGGAACCCAGTGGTTAGTTGATTGTGGATTGCTTTTCCGGGTATAATAATCTCTTCAAAAAAAAGTCAATACACTTTGCGGTGTATCCTGTGAAGAGTTTTGAGACGTCTCGAAGATGCGATGAGGCGCTGTGTCAAATGCAATGATTATTATTATTATTATATTACCCGCTGGTGATGGTGATGACTGGGCTGTGTTTGTTCCCCAGTGATGTCAGTGAGGGGGATCTGACGGAAGCCGGGGTCGCTGATCCTTCTCACCGCCGGCTGCTGCTGGAGAAGGTTCAGGAATTGTGGAGATGAGGGTCGAGGGACGGACCATCACTCTGTAAAGGGAGAGAGAGAGAGATCGATTGATCGGGTGGTCAATGGCCCAGTCAACCCACTACAGCCCCCTCACCTCCCCTCCCCTCACCTCAGAGCGTGTTCCTGCCCGGACAGAGATCAGCCGTGTGCCAGGAATCCCAACCAAGATGTACTTTCTCTCAGACATTCTTCCTGCCTGTTTCAGTGACTGCCGTCCACAAGGGCCATTGACCCCTCATATATCAGAGAGACCAACCCTAATACTGTTTGACCATCAACGCTGATCAGTTAACGTTTCCCCCCACTCCGCAACCCACTGTCCCCCACCACCCCCAACACAGTGAATCCTTTCTCACATGAAGAGACCTTACTCCCAGACCATTGGTGTTTACATCCCCCCTCCCCACACACACCCACCTCTGGACAGAACTGACCTGCATTGAATTGCAGTTTGCAGATAATATATAAATAGCCATAATCGGAGCGAGGGATGCAGAGAATTGCCAGGAGCAGAGCTTCTGTTTGCAGGTCTGAGGGAAGACGTTACATGGTTTTGAGAACCAAACGTTTCTCAGCTTCATATCAATGTACACGTCTGGGCTGAATGAGGAACGTTTCACGCTGTTAAATACCACCAGGTACTTCACACCAAGCCTCGTGGTCTCCACATTAAAATGGCCTTTTTT